GTGTGTGTGTGTGTGTGTGTGTGTGTGTGTGTGTGTGTGTGTGTGTGCAAGTGCATGTTTAAGATTGGTGCCACAGCTAATCCACCTCAGCAACACAAAAATGGCTACATCTCTCTCAGCCAGTTTATAGACCCTGACCTCAAATTTGGTGCGGTAGTAGCTGAGAGTCATCCCCAAAACATACTCCCAAACTCCATGATCACATGAGATCTGTTTTTTAAACTTGCCTTTTTGCCATAGGAGCTAATTGTGTGTTTCTGTTAGCAAAATATCTTGTGAACCACTGTAAGAGTTTTAATGGACCTCTCAGAAAGTAATCACTAGCTGTACATATGCAACTCATTGACAACGATAGTCAATTCAATAGCACAATTCAAGATGGCCACCGCAGCTAATTGACTTTAACTAGCTACATAAAAAAATTGTATTAGTCAAGTTTACACATTTTTGTTGCCAGTTCAAACAGCGTTAATCTATCTGAGTCAATGTTAGTTTAAAATTATAAGCAATTTGCATATATATATACACACACACATATGTATATATACACATATATATACAGATATCTTAGACCTTGTTGCTAAAGAGGGTAAACTTTATTTATTAGGTGACTTCAATATCAACCTCTTGAATGAGAACAAACATCACTTAGATGACCTTACAAATATTTTGTCTTCAAATTATTGTTATCCCCTCATTTGTAAGTCCACTAGAATAACTCCTCAGTCCTCTACATTGATAGACAATATGTCTACTAATGCATTGACTGACGTTATAAAATCTGTTATTCTTTATACTGATATTTCAGACCACCTTCCTGCTTTTCAGTTTTCTTCCATAATTAACAAACAGTCCACAAATAAATCAAAGAGAGTTTATTTTAGAAATTTCAATGAAAGTAACATTAACAACTTCTCAGATATACTAGCAAAGATGTTTTGGGAAACGGTATATGAAGTTTCTGATGTGAATGTGGCCTATAAAATATTTTATGCAAATTTTCATTCCGTTTTTGACAAATGTTTTCCTCTGATTTCTAAAGGTAAAGGAAGTTCTGTAAAATTTAACAAACCATGGTTTACTACAGAACTTAGGAAATCTGTTTTAAAGAAAAATAAGCTATATAAAAGATTTTTGCAAAACCCAAGTCCTTTAAATTTAGCAACATACAAAAAGTATAGGGATAATTATAATCACCTCATTAGAAATACTAAACAAAATTACTATAGTGATCTATTTACTCAATCATCAAATAATTCAAAAACTATATGGGATATTTTAAAAGTACTACTCAACAAGAAAAATGCCTCTACCCCATCCCAGGCTACATTTCAGGACGGCACTTCTATCACAACAGATCCAACACAAATTGCAAATAAATTTAATCATTTTTTTTATAAATGTGGGACCACATCTTGCAAAGAATATTGACAATGTTTCTGATTCTCCTAATTTTACAAATGAAAATTATCCCTCTTTAAATACATTTGATCCAATAAAACCTTTAGAAGTACTTGATATCATTAAGAATCTTAAAAATCTGGTATTATTCCACAAGATCTAAAACTTGCCAAGGTCATCCCGCTGTTTAAAGCTGATGACCCATCTGTATTTTCAAATTATTGCCCCATATCAGTTCTCCCATGCTTTTCTAAGATACCTGAGTGATTGGTGTATTCTAGAATCTTGAGGCATCTTGATGCCAACAATATTTTGTATGAGCATCAGTATGGCTTTAGAAAGAATTGTTCTACATATATGGCTCTCTTGCATCTTAGTGAAAATATTTCAACTGCTTTTGAGTAAAATGAATATGCTCTAGAAATTTTCTTGGACTTATCAAAAGCTTTTGACACTGTGGATTATGAAATCTTATTATCAAAAATGTCTTGTTATGGTTTTAAAAATAAGGTTCTGAAATGGGTTGAAAATTATTTGCACAGCAGAGAGCAAATTGTAATTTTTAATGGTAAATTGTCACAGCGGGATGTCCTAAAATGTGGAGTTCCACAAGGATCCATTTTGGGTCCATTATTGTTTCTCATATTCATTAATGATCTACCAAAAGCATCTAGTATTCTGACATCTTATTTGCTGATGATACCAATCTTTTTGTTATATGTATTATATGTATATGTATTTGTATATATATTTGTATATATGTGTGTGTGTGTGTGTGTGTGTGTGTGCAGTGTATGTGACAGACTGATCCACAGCTGAAATCTAATAAAACTGCAAGACATTGTCAGAACAGTTTGCAAGTCCTGAAACAAACTCTTTTGTTGTCATCGCCTGATCCTTTCTGCAAATGAAGCCTCAACATGATGCTTCTGCCAAGATATTCAGCTACAACAGTTTCTGGTGCTCAAGGAAGGACATGGACAAACACAGATCAAGAAAACTTATTCCTTCCCCCCTGCAGCACTCACACTCATAGGGATCTAAAATAGTCTTGACTGTACCTGCTGTGTATCTGAACTCTTCCTTTTACATGTTCTATACATTTATTTCCCCCATTCTTTGTCTGACAGCCTTTGATTCCTTATCTTTTGTATTAGATGCTCAGTTTAGGGCTGGCTCTTTCATAGCTTGGTACAGTTTCACTCTGCCTGCTTTCTAAAATGACACTATTCACTTTTTTCTTTCCCCTGTGAGAGCTTAAGATGTGCTTAACTTCTAGATGAATCTTGTCTGAGAAGTAATGTTTTATGCTTTATGTCAGACTTTTTTTGTACGGTTCCTAATTTGCGACATATGTCAAATGTGATTCAAAAATAGAATGAAAAATGCGGAGAAAAACTAAAACAGAAGCTTTCAGCAGCCTTTAACTTTTTAAACGCATTATTTTGTCAAGACAGACTCCTTTCAATCATTAACTGTCTTCATCATTTGACTTCACCTTAAAAATCAATTTAGAACCACTTATTGCACTTATTTATTTAGTTGACAATTTTCTTTTGAAAGATGTACTAGGAAACGTGGGCATCATTTGAGGAACAGCATATACGCTTGCGATGCTAAAGCACCGCTTGTTCTTTTGTTTGAAATGCTTAATTTAAGTTTAATTTTCAAGATTTTTTTTTCTCTAACAATGAAAAAAATCATTATTTTATTTACTTGTGAATTCTATCAAATATGATTTGATTTGAAGGCAACAACAAAGTAAGTTCTTGGGATATAAAGAAAACGCTTTTTTCCTTAATATCTGGTAAACTAAACTCTTTCTAAGCTTCTATTCTCACCTAAACTTCAGGAAGAGATAACTGTATTAAATAATATGTCATGCATGTTAGGAAAGGCTTCATAAAATGCAGGCAGGTGTGTTTCCACAGAAAAAACGTCTTAGCCAGAAAAGCAACTTTTTTCATGAAATTTCCAAACGACTCCCACCTTCATCTTGCATCAATTACTTCAAGATATTCATGGATTGTCTAAACACACTCATTCAATTAGGCGTGGTAAAATCACATTTTTTGTGTGAGAGCACAGATTTTTCATAGGAGCCAAAATCTCTGTGATGCTTATATGACTGCTTCAAACTGGCATGTTGATTGCATATAATAAATGCCTTTTTATGCTTTAGTGCAGTGGTGTAGTGTATATGATACGCGGGTATACGAAGTATACCCATTAGAAAACCTTGGGAATTTCAGTATACCCACTTAAAAGTGCCCAAATGACACATGACATATTGGGCATGTGTCATTGTCATCACATTTGGAACATTTTATAGACACAATGAGTTGGTTAAACCTTTTATTTATATATATATATATATATATATATATATATATATATATATATATATACTTATGTACTTACTACTTAATACTTGAATATGCTTTGATACTGTTTTATAAAATCTCTAACGTGTTTTTAATACAAAGCCAACTGTTGTACAAAGTTTGTTGTACATTTATTCAAATATAATCATCAGAGACATTTTGAAATGTTCAATATGCTTAAAAATCAAAATAATTTGACAATTACATTGTACTAACTGGTGTAGTTTGGTTTCTAACCACAGTATACCCACTACAAAAACGTAGACTACACCACTGCTTTAGTGTGTATTATTTTCATTGTTTGTGTTTGGGTATGTCATGCATTTTGTTCTTTGTGTTTTCTCTTTGTAGGGTGCACTTCCCACACCCTTTCTGTCTCCTTGGCAGGCGCAGCACCAGGGTTTGACCCGTACCAGCATGCCCCAGCGCAGACACAGTGAGTCACAAACATTTTCTCTTCTTACAACACACCACATCCATCTTCCATTTCCAGGTGAAATATTCTAATTTTCTTAAATGCTCTGTGTATATTTTCTCATTTCTATTTTTAAAATTAGATTTGTCTTATTTTATGGCACTCCTATCATTCCATACACACATCCCCTCTTTTCATTAATCTGTTGTATTCAGTCACAAATTATATGACTTTGTTGTTTTCTTCTAAACCCCCTCTATGTTCCATTGTAATGACTTTTAGTGGCCTCTAGATGTTCATTTAGGAATAATGCATTTATTGTAATTCGCAGCAGGAATAGTTTCAAATTATACTACTTGGTAATTCAGGCTAGAATAACATCAGCCACTGTAGGTTTAGTCGTGGAAAAATACAAGCAAAGCATGCTGTTTGCTTTTAAATGTGATGTGTGTAGTGGAAAACTTCTTTGTGACTTCTTTGAAAAAAGACAGGACTGCAGAAACAGTGATGATGTAGTCACAGCATAACCTCGCCTTATTCCGTTTTACAACAAAGCTTTTGTGTTGTGATGTGTGCACGAGTTGAGGTGAGGCAACGAAAGAACAATAACAACGAGTGAGCAGACTTCACAAAATTCATGTGTAAGAGTGAAGAGCACAAAGTAAAAGAATAAATAATCCACACTGTTCTTTTGATATTTCTCACTGTATCAATAGGAATAAAAAAATAAAGATTTTTTTTATGTGCATTTCAGTTTATTTTAATATCATATTATCTTGTGTTTATGACTATTGTTCAATCAATGAATGCAGCCCAGAATTTAGTCAAGAATCAGAATTATATGAAACTGAAGAGAACTAACTGGAGGAAAGAGGAAAGTACACAGAAACACACAAACAACAGTGTTACATTTACATCTAACATGAAAATAAATTCAATTTCAATTCAGTTCAGTTGATTTATACAGCGTCAAGTCACAACAGAACTCATCTCAGGGCACTGAACAGAAACATGCATATAAAAATAATAATTTAACATTATTTATCTGAGGAGCAGACTGCTTTGAGTTGAACTCCATCATAGAACTCTCATTTTGAGCAAGCATGAAGGCGACAGTGGAAAGGAAAAACTCCCTCATGAGGAAGAAACTTTTAGCAGAACCAGGCTCTGGACAAGCGGCCATCTGCTTCGACCGGCTGGGATAGGGAGGAACAGATACACAATGGCAGGTCAAGAATCACATGTTAAAATAGAAATAGCATCAAATGAAAACTATTCAGTTTTAATAATTCCATCCATCCATCCATCCATCCATTATCTTTACCCGTTTATTCCATTTTGGGTCACGGGGGTCGCTGGTGCCCATGTCCAGCAATCACTGTGCGAGGGGCGGGGTACACCCTGGACAGGTCGCAAGTCCATCACAGGGCCACATAGAGACAAACGAGACAAACAACCATTCACTCTCTCACTCACACCTAGGGACAATTTAGAGTTACCAATCAGCCTAACATGCATGTTTTTGGTCTGTGGGAGGAAACCGGAGTACCCGGAGAAAACCCACACATGCACGGAGAGAACATGCAAACTCCACCCAGAAAGGCCTCCGGACCGGGGTTTGAACCAAGGACCTTCTCGCTGAGAGGCAGCAGCTCTACCAGTTGCGCCACCGTGCTGCCCAGTTTTAACAATTCATTTAAGGAAATGAGGTCAATTTGTCCTCTAGTAGTCTAAGCCTATGGCAGCATGACAAGCCAACCCTAACAATAGGATTTATCAAGAAGAAAAGTCTTAAGTCCAGTCTTAAAACTGGACAATGTGTCAGTCTCCCGGACAGAAACCGGAAGTTGGTTCCACAAGAGAGGAGCCTGATAACTGAAAGATCTTCCTCCCATTCTGCTTCTGGAAACTCTAGGAATCACAAGTAAGCCTGCAGTCTGAGAGCAAAGTGCTATGTTGGGCAAATATGGAACAATAAGATCTTCAATATAAGATGGAGCTAGGTTGTTGAGGGCTTTGTAGGTTAGAAGGAAGGTTTTGAATTCAATTCTGGACTTGACAGGGAGCCAATGGAGAGAAGCTAAAACTGGAGAGATATGATCTCTCCTACTAACTCCAGTTAAGACTGGCAGCAGCATTTTGGATCAACTGAAGACGTTTTAAAGAAGTGTTTGGACACCCAGATAACAAACCATTGCAATAGTCCAGTCTAGACGTGACAAATGCATGAACCAGTTTTTCTGCATCAATTTTAGACAAGATGTTTCTAATTTTACGATTTTGCATAGATAAATGCGGCAGCACGGTGGCGCAACTGGTAGAGCTGCTGCCTCTCAGCGAGCAGGTCCTTGGTTCAAACCCCGGTCCAGGGGCCTTTCTGGGTGGAGTTTGCATGTTCTTTCCGTGCATGCGTGGGTTTTCTCCGGGTGCTCCGGTTAGGTTGATTGGTAACTCTTAAATTGTCCCTAGGTGTGAGTGAGAAAGTGAATGGTTGTTTGTCTCGTTTGTCTCTATGTGTCCCTGTGATGGACTTGCGACCCGTCCAGGGTGTACCCCGCCCCTCGCACAGTGATTGCTGGACATGGGCACCAGCGACCCCCGTGACCCAAAATGGAATAAGCGGGTAAAGAAAATGGATGGATGGATGGATAAATGCATAAACTAATGGATTTTGTTTCATTAGATAAATGCAACCTTGTGTAAGTTCTGCATGTGAACAAACTAACTAGATGTTGTCAACGAGGCATTTCTTAAAAATAAAATAATACAGTCAACATGAAAATGATTGGAGGTTGTTGTGATTATATCTGACATTTCAATGGCTTGTTTTTTTAAATAATGTTTGACCTTTTCGAATGAGCTTTGTTTAAATGTAGGTTTGAAATGCATCTAGCCGAATCAATGTTTGTCTATACACCTTTTGAAGCTGCCTTCTTTCCTACTTGCAATTAATTTCACTCACTCTCCTTGTTGTTTAAACTCTCCCTCTTAACTCACACACTCTCTGAAAGAAATCTATTTGGATCTCCCTCATTCTCTCTCCTCTGCCTTTGCCTCCTCAATGCATAACATCTTTGGCAAGCAGTGGAGCAGCTAGTGCAGTACTTCTCTGACAAAGTGTGGTACAGTAGCCCTTACTCTCCTGTGAAATGCAGCCCTCTCAGACCTGCTCACTGAACTGTGGTCCGGTGACATATGGCCCAGCAGAAGCATGCCATTCTACATTCATCTGCATGATTTCATTTTGGCTTTCAGTTTTGACTTTGTGTACTTTTCTTTGGGACATTAG